AAAAAAAAAAAAAAAAAAAGAATAGTCTCAAAATCAGAAGGTTGCAGGTTCCCCACCCCTGCAAAACCCAAAGGATATTTTGACATAATATCAAACAGGCATCTATCTAAGTACTTATGTAAGACCACAATACATTACAGTATGGTTACAAATTATGTCATAGCTACATAAAATACATCAACATACACTTTCTTCTAGTCTCACAAAGACTTTTAATAGATTTTTTAAAGGCTCTCAGTTCCTCTCCCCAATCCAGCCCACCTTCTAGGATGGGTCTGTAACCCTATACAGAGGCTCTACCAACCCCACTGACTTGCCAAGCCCTCTGCCTCCAAAGAACAACGCATTTACGTACCTCCTCCGCCACCATTTAATCCTTCTTTGCCGTACTTGTCATAGATGTCCCGTTTCTTAGCTAAAAATGTTTTTAAAGAATCAATAAGGCAAAGTTATTTTCAAACCTTAAAATTCAACAGATGAAGTATTTCTCAAGTTGTAAGTCAGTTTTTAATTTTTCACAATTAAATGACAGGGAGTTATACCACCTCTACTTTAAAAGAGAAGGGAGCAAGAGGGAAACATTATATACCTCTCTCCTGACAAATAACTCAGAAAACCTTTAAAGTATTACAAACTAGAAGTTGTTATAAATACTAAACATGTACTCCATTAGATGATTTCTTCCACTTTACTACCCACAGAGCTCATGTACCCATCATTGAAACTCCATGACCAAGTACGAAACTACTCCAACCCTTGAGCCCTCTTACTACAATGTCTAGAGGATACACGCTGTGGTGTGGCATGAAAAGAAACACGACAGGACGTATGTGGGGTAGAAAGTAGATGTGCTGAAAACCAGAAAGGAGCCAACAAAAGCCCCACAGGCTCAGGCACCGTTAGCGGCACAGCTGAGCACAAGGCATGGGGGCTGGTGCGCCACTGTCTCTGACAGTCATGCTTACTCACATCCCAGGATTTAAAAAAACTACAACACGGCCCTGGTTAGAGGAATAGGTACTTCAGATATGACACCACCTGTGCTCCCTAAAAATCTCACGTTCTGCAAATGGAAAAGTGCAGAAGTACACCACTTACAACCAGCTCTGTGTGACCAGCACCCTAGGAAGAACAATGACTGTACCTTTAGGGTCCACCGCCACCTGGGCTACACTGCCTAGAAGAACATGAAAAACGTACGCCCTCAAAAAAATAAATAAAAATCAAGCAAGGGATTTTTTAATGGTACTGTAAAGGTGTATTTTACAACAAATACAAAGCTTCCGTTTAGTCCTCAATTTTGCTCATGGTATTGGTACACAAACTCCACAAGCATGGGATACCGAATTAGCACACACACACACAAACTAGGAACACTGGGGCCTGTGGTCTTCAGTATCCACCCAGCTCAGAGCTCCAGCGCACACGCTGGGCCTGCGCCTGCAGTCCCCCACACTGCAGAGGCGGGCGGAGACACAGGACAGCCTGCACCCAGGAGCCCAGCCTGGCAACACAGCGAGACTCCACCCCCGCACCCCTAAAAAAGCCTAAAGAGCAGTTAAAGCTCAACAGTTTAAGACAAGAAATGCCACATTTCAAAAAGATTTCAACTACCTGTGTTTTTATGTGTTTTCAGACTTGTGAAATAAACAAATGTCGGGGATTTCCTTTACAACAAAGCAACAGTGTCAATAGAGAAAGCAAGCCTGGTCATGTCAGTGTTGACGCCGGCAATGATCACATCAGGTTTCCTCTTAAAGAGTGGCCTGTTAGCTGACCATGTGCAGACACACCGGAGCAGTGTCCACTTCCTGCGGTCAGTGGATCAGTCTCTGCCTTTGCTCCCTGAGGCCACCAGCCTTGCCAAGTGCCAGTCGTTCCCAATTCCATCCCCCAACCCCAGGACTCATGCAGTCTTTCCTTCACCGTAAAGCGCTGACTGCTGCCCTTTCTCTCTGTGAACCAGGCCAGCATGTCTGACTTCCAGTAGCACTCAACACCCATGCTCCAGACCATGGTGGGAAAGACAGACTGAAGTTTTCAAGTCTAAATCTGAGCCGGGTGTCGATGCTCTCAAGCAGCAAAACTCACTCCACTAGCAAGGTACTGTTTAAGTCAATGGGGAACGATACGTCAGAATGCTCAGACATTACCAGACATCAGGGCAACCGCCACCACAGGCATGGGGACCACAATAGCGTCCTGCACGCTCATCTCCTTTGGCTCCTCAGACCCAGGGTATTAGGCACTGTTTTAGAACAGCCATATAAAGAGAAATTGCTAGAAGCCCAGGTGCTCATCCCTCAGCACTCGTGGCTAACAATATTGATCCAAATCTTTACAAGAAAGATAAAAACATTCTTAGTGGGCCCAAAATCCAGCTGGCACCAAATACGTCCCTTGTGTCTACACTCTGCTCCCCTGGGAGAGTCCCTTCCTGCTCTGAGCCACCCACTCTGATCTTCTTCAAGGCCAGCATTACTCACCATCTGATAACACCTCATACGCCTCAGCTACTTGTTTGAATTTTCTCTCTGCTTCTTCCTTATTCTCAGGGTTTTTATCCGGGTGCCACTTCAGTGCCAGTTTTCGATACCTTGCAAAAAGTAAAAAGCACTGGTCACATCCAAAGTCCAGGAATCAGCTAGGTTTTTGAAACTAACATAATTAAGCAAAAAAACCAGTTTCACCGTTGCCAGCTAGTGAGGTTAATACCAGTTTTAATTGTAAACTCCCCCTTTTTCCCTAGAATGAAACACACAAGTTCTAGAATACAGATAGCAGTAATGCAAACCAGCCTATAGACAGCAAAATGTTTGAGGGTTGGAGTATTCTCAACATGAACCTGTGCTGACTGGGCTGAGCAAGCACGAAAGCTCCATGGAGAAAGCAGCCCTGGTCACTGAACAGTGAGGATCCAACATCACCTTCCTCATGCTGACATGCTCTGATTCCCAGAAACCTGTTTCCTCAGACAGCCCATTCGCAGGTCGGTGTGGAAAAGGTGAGACATCCGCCGCAACACAGACCAGGGTCCCAGTATCTTTCAAATAGCCCTCTCTTCTGGACTCAAATTACAAATAAAGTTAAAACACTAACTTTTTTTGTTTTTGAGACAGTCTCGCTTTGTTGCCCAGGCTAGAGTGCGTGCCGTGGCGTCAGCCTAGCTCACAGCAACCTCAAACTCCTGGGCTCAAGCAATCCTGCTGCCTCAGCCTCACCAGTAGCTGGGACTACAGGCATGTGCCACCACGCCCGGCTAATTTTTTCTATATATATTTTAGTTGGCCAATTAATTTCTATTCTTAGTAGAGACGGGGTCTCGCTCTTGCTCAGGCTGGTTTCGAACTCCTGACCTACAGCAATCCGCCCGCCTCAGCCTCCCAGAGTGCTAGGATTACAGGCGTGAGCCACCACGCCCGGCTTTTCAAAAATTTTATGACCAAGGTGATAGTCTGTTCCACAGTTCCAATTAACTGAATAATTGCATGATTTTTTGAACACACACAAAAAAATCCTCTAGCCTAATAAGCAAAACATAAGCAGAATACATCTAAAAAACGGGGTGGCATTAAAAAGGGAAGGGAGTGTGCCCTTAAAAAAAAAAGTCTCAGACTAGCTGGGTGCGGTGGCTCACTCCTGTAATCCCGATAACTTGGGAAGCCATGAGGGGAGGATCCCTTGAAGCCAACACGTTGAGACACCCTGGACCACAGAAAGACCCCATCTCTATAAAAAGTAAAAAATCAGCTGGGCATGGTAGCACACATCTATAGTCCTAGCTACCTGGGACGATCACTTGAACCCAGGAGTTCAAGATTACAGTGAGCTGTGATGATGCCACTGTACTTCAGTCTGGACAACAGAGCAAGACCCTGTCTCTTTAAAAACAAACCAAAAAAAATTAAAATACAAACCCCACAGTCCCTTTAATTCTTGGCAAATATTAATGTAAGGGTACTATGGTTCAACTTAACATTTTAAGCAAAAACCTTGGTTTAAATATACTAAAATCTGACTCAAGCTAGAACCTAGACTACCTAACAGAATTTTTTATATCACTGTGCTTCTAAAGTAGTAGACCAAGTCCCCCCTAATAGTGCCACAAACCTTCAATTAAAAATGACAGATCACATAAAAGACTAAAGAAAAGGAACAATTAGTTTGCACTATTAATAGCATCAATCACCTAGTGTTCATGTACTGAAAATTAGGGGACGTAGAAGCACCCAGGACAAGGTTCAACTGCATATGCCCCTCATCACGAAAGTTTTTAAAAATCAAAGTACAATACAGTGTACAATATATAGTTAAGTGTAAATGGCATCAAATGACTTCATGCTGATCTTTAGACCTATGATCTGCACACCAGTGTTTCAGCACCACAGAACGAACATCATTGGGGGGGGGGGGGGAACCCACAGGCTGTGATGCAGACACCCGATAAGAGTAAGGTGTCTCTGAAGGCGTAGGGGAGTGGGTGGGAGCCACACTAGCTTAGTCCTCAAACAAAAATGCTCAGCACACAACCAACAAAGCCAGAGGCCACAAAAGACAGTGCTAATAACATGCACCCCATGGCTATCATTGAGAAGTATTTATGCAATCGTACACTTAATAGAAAAATCTTGCTGCTTTTAAAGGTTTAAAGTCAATTTTTTTTTTTTTTTTGAGACAGAGTCTCACTCTGTTGCCCAGGCTAGAATGTTCTGGCATCAGCCTACCTCACAGTAACCTCAAACTCCTGGGCTCAAGTGATCCTCCTGCCTCAGCCTCCTGAGTAGCTGGGATTACAGGCATGTGCCACCATAACCGGCTAATTTTTTCTATATATATTTTTAACTGACCAATTAATTTCTATTTATAGTAGAGACGGGGGTCTCACTCTTGCTCAGGCTGGTTTTGAACTCCTGATCTTGAGCAATCCTCCCACCTTGGCCTCCCAGAGTGCTAGGATTACAGGCATGAGCCACCGCGCCCAGCCTTGGTGTTTTTTTTGAGACTCGCTGTCTCCCTGGGTAGAGAGCACAGTGGTGTCATTGTAGTTCACTGCAGCCTCAAACTGCTGGGCTCAAGTGATCCTGTAGCCTCAGCTTCCAGGAGTGCTAGGATCACAGCCATGAGCTATAGCGCCCAGCCTCAAAAGCCTTTTCTAAATTCATACTTCAATGTCATTCTGGAGATGCTGGTCAACCTGTATGTTCTCAGACATAACTAACACCAATCTACTCTCTCCAATTACCTAGCATAACAAAAACACATAAACATATTGTGTGTTTATCCATTAATCCATTCACAAAGAGTAAAGGATTTCGAACTGTATCTTTGTTCCACAATCTACCAAGTATTACTGCACTATAGACTCAGGCATTGTAAGAAATGTCACTCCACTGGTGATAGTGTAAGTGCCTACCAGGTTCCTTGGCAGAGGTTTGAAATGGACACCCTACAGGCAACTTCCGGTCTATCCCAGATGGCTGACATCCTTAGCATTTTAAAACTGACTAATTGCCGGGCACTTTTGGAGGCCCAGGCAGGAGGATCACCTGAGCCCAGGAGTCTGAGACCAGCCAGGGCAACAGAAAGAGACCCTGGCCGGACGCGGTGGCTCACACCTGTAATACTAGCACTCTGGGAGGCCGAGGTTGGAGGATCCCTTGAGCTCAAGAGTTCGAGACCAGTCTGACCAAGAATGAGACCCCAATCGCTACTAAAAATAGAAAACATTAGCTGGGTGTGGTGGCACGAGCCTGTAGTCTCAGCTACTCAAGAGGCTGATGCAGGAGGATCACTTCAGCCCAGGAGTTTGAGGTTGCTGTGAGCTAGGATGACTCCACAGCACCCCAGCTCAGGCAACAGGGTGAGACTCTGTCTCAAAAAACAAACAAACAAACAAACCCTGTTTCTACCAAAAAAAAAAAAAAGAAAGGAAGAAAAAATTAGCCAGGCAATGGTGTGCACCTATAGCCAGCCACAGGGAGGCTGAGGTTAAAAGGATTGCTTGAGCCCAGGAGTTTGAGGTTGCAGCAGTGAGCTATAATGATGCCACTGCACTACGGCCTTGGTGAGAGAGTGAGACTATAAAAAAAAAAAAAAAATCTGTATTGTGACTTTTCTGGTATATCCTGTCCATTGATAGTTAATAACTACCTGGATCCTTCAGTGCAGTCGTTTGACTGAATCCAAATTATACCCGACAAATCTTTTTAAGAAAGGGATTTGTCCTATCAAGTTTGGATTCGATCAAGGAGCCACACTTGGGGATCTGGAAGGCCACAGGTTCCTCACCGCCCCCCACCCCTCCATCCAGCTGACCCTGAGAGCTGTCTGTGACCTAGGACTTGCCCTCCTCACGTTGGCCAGGCCCTGGAGATCTCAGACTTCATGTGGAGCAGAGTGGCCTTTGACAGGACAGGCTGGGGCCAGCAACCATACGGGGGAAGTCAGGGTACTATGCTCTAGGCCCCTGCTTTGGAAAAGTGCCAAGTCTGCTCCATTTCAAAGTCCAATGTAAAATTGGGGTTATTTCACATCCCCCATGAATTTTTCATCTACTCCAAACAGATATGGCATCAGGCAAGGCCAAGGAACAGGGTGACCCGAGCGCCTGAAAAGCAAAGGGCTACACTGAGGTCCCAGGATGCAAATGCACATTTGTTAACTGCTTTCTGAAGTTCAAATTGAGCTATGTGGCATTCAAAGACTGTTATATAACATTAAAAGCCACTTTAATAGCAACAGAAGGAGTTATACTACCTAATTACCAATGTACAACTGCCCAGGTATATTATTTCAGAAATAAAATTACTTACGCCTTTTTAATATCCTCGGCTGAGGCATGTCTCTGCACGCCTAGGACTTCATAATAATCCACCATGTTTTAACTGATTGTGGGAACAGGTCCTGCAATTAAAAATAGGCGGTCAGTGACAAGACTGCAGGGCTGGGTGGGTCACAGGGATGGGAGCTGGTCACAAGAGTCACCCAGCACCTGCTGGCCCAGAGAGTATTTCTGTCAGCTAACCCCAGCCTGTCAAGCCAGGGCCTCCTCTCTGGGAACTGATTCCAAAACTGATTTCTAAAACCCTTCTAGATATAGAAAAAAGCTCTGAAATAGCCTAATAATAGCCTAAACTAAATAAAAGGTGCAGGCGACTCAAGAGACTTGGTGGCCACCTGACCACGAGCTGACAGGCTCTCCGTGGTGTCCTGTTTTCCCACACGTGGGCCATGCTCAGAAAACACCAGTCACCCCCTTCCTCCGCACACGCCTGTGCCAGGCATTGGGCAAGACTGCGCGCCGAAGGCGAACACACTGTCCCTGCCCTGAAGAAACTGCACATCAGAACAAAAAGCTACCTTCCACCGTTCTGTCCCTCTCACCAGGGACAGCAAAACCCCTCTTCACACATGTCCCAACAGAAAAACAAAAGGTTTCTGAATGCAAAGTTATTAGTGTTAACTTTACCCTCTGGCTTCAAACTCCCATCCATCCATCCACCAAACAAATACAGTACTGCCTTGTACATGTTACTGCTACAGATGGCGCCTTCAGTCCAAAACTCACAGCAGAGATTTGCTTCACCTGTAGGCCACTAGGTTCCCTTGCTACTTCACAGAGTGCTACAATGAAAATCCATTCTGCTGTGCCACCTCTGATAGGGCATGTAGCCTCTTGTCCCACAATCAGGAAATACACATATCCTGTTTCTTTAAGACATGAAGTTTCCTAACCAATTTACTTCTTTTTTTGAGACAGAGTCTCGCTTTGTTGCCCAGGCTAGAGTGAGTGCCACGGCGTCAGCCTAGCTCACAGCAACCTCAAACTCCGGGGCTCAAGCGATCCTCCTGCCTCAGCCTCCCGAGTAGCTGGGACTACAGGCATGCACCACCACGCCCAGCTAATTTTTTCTATATATATTAGTTGGCCAATTAATTTCTATTTATTGTAGAGACGGGGTTTTGATCTTGCTAAGGCTGGTTTCAAACTCCTGACCTGGAGTGATCCGCCCGCCTCGGCCTCCCAGAATGCTAGGATTACAGGCGAGAGCCACCGTGCCCGGTTAACCAATTTTACTTCTTTAAATTTGACTGGCTAAATCATTTTATTAAACCAAAGATCAAGAAACTGCATCGAACAGGTCTATGCCACGTTAACTTGACCCAATAAACCAAGCCACTTTGTCCAAAAAGTTTCCCAGAAACCTTAGTTTTGGAGAGTTTCAAAAGAAATATTCTCATTGTAAATAAATACATGAGATCTTAACCTTCGTAAGGCCATGTTGCCGAGCTTGAACAATGTCAAGGTTAAATAATGCCACCTTATGAGTTATTCCATTTCTCAAAGCAAGATGTACAATTTTATTGTATTTTTACTTTCCAAATTTAGAGAGAAATCCATAGTATGAAAAAAATATTTTGCCTCATGACTCAGCACGTGTGTGCACGTCTGTCTGCAAAGCCCTCATTAAATATTCATGGAGTGACTACATAAAAGGGTTAAGAAGAAACATACAAAAATGCAATCTTTTGGGGAGGCTAAAGGCAGGAGGATGGCTTGAGGGCCAGGAGTTCCAGACCAGCCTGAAGTACATAGCGAGACCCTGCCTCTAGAAAACAGAAAAATTAGCCAGGCATGGTGATGCGCGGCTGTAATCCCAACTACCCTGGAGGCTGAGGCGCGAGGATGGTCGGAGCCTAGTAGTTCGAGGTACAGTGAGCTATGATGGCTCCACTGCACTCCAACCAGGGCAATGCAGACTGACCCTGTCTCAAAAAAAAAAAAAAAAAAAAAAAGCAATCTGTTTGTTACCAGTCCAGGAACCCAAAACAAGAAAAAACCTAAACAGGCCAGGCGTGGTGGCTCACATCTGTAATCCTAGCACTCTGGAAGGCAGAGGCAGGTGGACTGCTCAAGGTCAAAGTTCGAAACCAGCCTGAGCAACAGCGAGAGGCCATCTGTACTATAAATAGAAATAAATTAATTGGACAACTAAAAATACATACATGCATACATATATGTATGTATATATACATGTACACATATATACATATATATGTATATGTATATATACATATAATATATATAATATATATATATTAGCTAGGCATGGTGGTGCATGCCTGTAGTCCCAGTTACTCGGGAGGCTGAGGCAGGAGGACTGCTTGAGCCCAGGAGTATGGCTGAGGCAAGAGGATCGCTTGAGCCCAGGAGTATGGCTGAGGCAAGAGGATTGCTTGAGCCCAGGAGTTTGAGGTTGCTGTGAGCTAGGCTAACGCCATGGCACTCTAGCCAGGGCAACAGAGTGAGATTCTGTCTCCAAAAAAAAAAAAAAAAAACTAAATTAAACATATCACACAACGATCCAATAAGGAACCACCTCCTAGCACAAATACCCAGAGTTTTAGATAATATAGCAAATTTAAAGACACAGCTCAGCTCCTAGGATAGAATGACACACCCAGGGTGCCAGTAACAACCAGCAAATTAGAAGCAGGCAGCAGATGAAGCTTGTGCACTGTTGGGGTGAAATTTGGAGTTTCCAGGGGGTCTTGTTTAAAGGCACAGGGAAGCAGGAGCTGCAACTAAAATCCCTACATTTAACTGTGGTCCCTCAAAGAGCTGTAACTCCAAGAGAGGGGAAAACATCCCCCTGAACTGCAGAGAAGAGGGAAGGAGAAACACCCCTCAGAACACGAAGCCCTAAAAACTTCAAACATGCAAAACAGAATCCTATTCATTACCTTCAAGTACTATTCTAGGAGAAATGAGTCTCTACAACTCAGATCACAGAGATTCCTACAGAAAACAATCCCTGTGCAGATCAGCTCACAACCCAATCCTAAACAGAAGGAAAGCATTCAGAATGAGAAACACACACTCCTCAAAGTATTCATAAAACAATCAGAGTATGCATAAAAGAATCATGATAAGAGGAATGGAAATGTCTGTGTGTTAACCTGCTGGTTTGTTAACGAACCAAAATGGTACCAACAGTTATTAAGGCAGCCATTTGAAACTTAACAGCAGATTCCAGAGGGTTAGAGTGGGCTTGTGATCTGGAAGTGAGAGCTAAGGACATTATCCAGGTTCCATGCAGAGACATGGAAATAGGATAAGAAGGTTCAACATAATTCTTAAGATAAGAAGGCTGGGATCAAAGAGGAAACAGGTGATACTGAAACTAGCTACTAAGGCTCCAGAAGTAACAAAAAAAGAACAGGCTGGACTCACTCTAAGAGCCTGTCACTACTTGGGAGGCAAGTAGAGCAAAGGCTATTAATGTGGAAGTCAGGAGGGAGAGCCCCCATGCCAAAATATAAAGACAAACTTGAACAGAAAACAAGTAAAATGTAAACTTCATACCAAAAACTGGGATTGGGGAAGATGGTGAACACAGGGAGCAAGGGAATTATGAAAAAGCATAAAATAGGCCGGGTGTGGTGGCTCAGGCCTGTAATCCTAGCACTGTGGGAGGCTGAGGAGGGACAAGACCAGCCTGAGCAAGGTGAGACCCCATCTCTACTAAAAATAGAAAGAAATTAGCTGCATAACTAAAAATATATACAGAAAGAAATTAGTTGGGCAACTAAAAAAACAAAAAAATTAGCTGGGCATGGTGGCGCATGTCTGTAGTCCCAGCTACTCGTGAGGCTGAGGCAGGAGGATCGCTTGAGCCCAGGAGTTGGAGGCTGCAGTGAGCTAAGCTGACGCCAAGGCACTCTAGTGAGCTATGAGGCACTCTAGTGAGTGCCTTGGCGGGCTAGAGACACAGAGCGAGACTGTCTCAAAACAAAATTTTTATTAAAAAACAAAACAAGGGCCGGGCGAGGTGGCCCACGCCTGTAATCCTAGCACTCTGGGAGGCCGAGGCGGGCGGATTGCTCGAGATCAGGAGTTTGAAACCAGCCTGAGCAAGACCGAGACCCCGTCTCTACTATAAATAGAAAGAATTAATTGGCCAACTAATATATATATATAGAAAAAATTAGCTGGGCATGGTGGCGCATGCCTGTAGTCCCAGCTACTTGGGAGGCTGAGGCAGGAGGATTGCTTGAGCCCAGGAGTTTGAGGTTGCTGTGAGCTAGGCTGACGCCACCGCACTCACTCTAGCCTGGGCAACAAAGTGAGACTCTGTCTCAAAACAAAACAAAACAAAAATTTTATTAAAAAACAAAACAAAACTTGTCTGTCTCAAAACAAAAATTTTATTAAAAAAAAATAAAACGCTAAAAATCCTTGAAGGCCTTTACTTCTCCTCCTCCTGAAACACCCCTCAAAGATTTTCCTTAAGAAAAGAAGGACAAGGAGCAAGGATGTCAATGATAGGAATTGATTTTGTTAGCTATTAAGTAGCTAGGCCTGTATAACCAATTCTCACTGCAGAAGCCCTTACATGGCTTAAGAACTGAAGGGCTGGTCAGATGCAGGGGCTCCCGCCTGCAATCTCAGCACTCTGGGAGGCAGAGAAAAGAGGATGGCTTGAGCCCAGTAGTATGAGAGTGCAGGGAGCTACAATGACGCCACTGCACTCTACTCAGGGCAAGGGAGGGAGAGTCTATCTCAAAAAAACATATATATTAAAAAAGACCTGGGGGGCGAGGGGGGCAGGTATATACATACATAATGAGTGAGATATGTACCATCTGGGGGATGGTTATGCTGGAAACTCAGACTTGTGGGGGGGAGGGGGGAAGAACATTTATTGAAACCTTAAAATCTGTACCCTCATAATATGCCAAAATAAAAAAAAAATTTAAAAAAAGACCAAAGAAAATTGTAATCATTTTTTTAAATGAAGGGCAAATTTAGAAAAATACTACTTACAAGCCACTTTCCCCTTTCAAAGTGAAAACATGTCGAGCCCCTTGGGGAAGAGGGCACTGTGGTGGACAGGAAGGAT